CCCAAAACATGTGAGACGAGGGAGTCCTCTGACTGCACTCAGGTGTTCTACAAGGTCCGCATTAAGTTCTAAGTAATAACTTGGTCTTTGCTATGCACCTCTTATTTTGGACTGTTGTCATCATACAGATAATACCTAACCATGTATTTCTTTTAGACAGTTCTTTCCCTCACCTATTTAAATGCAGTGTTCATTATTTATCCCCTCTTTAGAGCAAAGTGTACTGGGGGGTGGGGAAATTGTGCAACAAGGAATCTTTTTAAAGAGAAAAGCAAACTGGGGGTGGGTAGTATGGAGGAAAATGTGCAACAATGAATGAATGGAAATCCAAGTTTTCTGTAAACTTTCATTAAAATATCAAGAATTTTTTTTAAAAAAAAGAATAACTTGGTCATTGATTAAGTGATACATGAAATTTGAAATAGGTACAAAAATACTTCCTATTTCCAAAATGTTATAGTATGAATTTTCACAGGAAAGTAAACCTTTTTTTTTCTCTCCTACAATCTGGTTTTTTTTCTGGTACACTGATAATTACAGAAAAATATTTCAGCAAAAAAATTTACAAACTTTCTAACTTCCAGTATGTATGCTTCAGATAACCTCATTTTTTGCATCCCTAACCATTCTAAGAGTTTCTGTCACATGAAACAGCTGCTAAATAAATAAATCATCAAACTATTATGAGGTATGTTATGATAAATGAAAAAAGTTCCAATGTAAAACATTTTAATAGTTTGTCAAATATACAGTTATTAGAATATCTAAATATCACTTAAGTTATAAAAATCGATATACCACATTAGATTCTATAAAACACAAATCACATATTGACAATAACCCCTGCAGTCAACACCCCCTCAATAGTACAAATTACAAATACAATTTTTTTTAAAAAAAATGAAGACATTAGACATTTAAACCCAAATAACTGAGACTACACTAAGTACATTCATTCATCAAGTACAATAAATTTAGCATTGCTGCTTACAGTCACGAATAAAACAATTTTCGGTGCAATTTCACATGCTTTCCTAAAATCTTCCAGTACAACCCCTTGATAAAGTGTCTTTGTGCACGCCATTTTCATTTATATGCCAGTGCATCATACATATGTAGAACTATATTACTTCAGAGTTAAACTGGTACTATATATTGTAAGTGAACACAAGACCAAAACTTAATTCCAATGATGATAATATTCTTTTAATCTTTTAAGTATATATCAATTTGTTTCATCACATGAGTAATATTTCCTCTTAAATCTTGTCAAAATAAGTAGTGACAAGTTCAATTAATAACTCAAAAAAGTAGACTCCAACCTTATACATGACCGAGCATTTTAAATAACAATAAAATCACTCTGTACATTAAAAAAGTAATTTTATACTCATTGCCAAATTTTAAAATCAGTGATTTGAAGACTAAGGCCTATAATACTGGTACTAAATTGTAAAATACGATAATAATATGTGCAATAATTTGGTTGTGACTATGTAATGGAATGCATGTCACAGTAATGTCAGGTTAAACACTACTCTACATGGATAGTGTAAGTAAACGTACCTTAACCTGCAAGAGCAATGAAAAATTAAGGCCCTTCTAAGCTATCTATATAACTTACTACTTTTTAACCAAAAGTTAAATAAAGGTTAACAATGCTGCCAAATATTATTCTTAACCTGAGTGTTAGTCACTCCCTCTCAATACTTATTACGTTACTGTCATACAAACTCAAATTTTCAGTTACCTGTATTATCTTGTGTTAATTTCCATTTTCTTAAGTCCTACAGTATCAGAATACAGGAAATGGTTAGGGACTTGTTTGATTCACACCTTTATACCAAAGATCTAAAAATGCTTGGCACATGGTAGACAACAAAGAGTTTTCAACAAACTAAGAAATCTGAACTCCAAAGCTATTCTACTTGTTTCCTGATAACATTAAGATGCAATTGCTATGTTTTCTTAAGAGAACCAGACTGACAACTTTTTAAAAAGAAATTTTTTAAAAAAGGAAATTTTTTTGTTTCTTAGGTAACAAAAACATTATAGTAAATAATAGAAAATCTAACTGAGGCTACAAATACATCAAATCATGGTTGAAGGCACTGAGTAAGAAAGATTTTTACCAAGTATTGTAAATTTTATATGCAAATCACAGTTAAGATAACAAGTGCCAAATTGAGATGAGAAAATTCTAAAATGAGTACAATACTTTAAAACAAGGAACATAATTTCTGTAACTGCACAAATAAATTCTTTCATTGTTTTACCATTTTTTTTATCCTAATTTTTCTAAAACACTCCAAATACTGGGAATAAATGTTTTCTGTTGCCTGAAGCAATACAACTGAAATATCTCTAGAAATTAATTCCTAAGTTACATTATAAATCTTACATTTTAGTGAGATGATATGAAGATCTTAGAAATTATAAAATATAAAATTACTCAATCAACATTTTAAAAAAAAATTCTTACTCAGATGAACACAATCTAAAGCCTCACAACAGCAAACTGTAGTGTCATGTAAAGAAGCACAGTAAGTGTGATCTTCCCAGGACAAAGAAGAAGGAAGACTGGGTTGAAAATACCACAAGCTCCATCTAAAGAACCATTTAAAACACACATTTTCATAGTTGTTTCTTAAAAAACTACTTGGATAAAATATTTACCATTTTATCATTTTTTAAATTCATTTGGATCTATGCAATAATTACCATCCATATTAAAATATCAATTAATGTAAATACTTCATTGTAAAAAAATTATTACACAATTTCTATTTTCATTAGAGAAAGGTCTTACTTACTATCCACAATTTCTCAGTCATTTGTGTAAGTGCATTCTGTAAGAAATGCACCGGCATAACTGCTTCCTAGGCAGGAGGGGGAGTACAATCATCTCACTAACCCAGGACTGACTGTATTCTTATTATGATTATTTCTTAAATAATTACATGTCCAAATATACTTGCTGAAGAGTGATTATTCATTCCCACAGTGGTAAATTTCAACAGCAATCTTAAATGGCTGAATTAGATAGCAAAGTAGCCGCATGTCAATCCAAAAATACTTATTCTGTTACATGTAAGCTTACATCTAAAGTAACAAAAATGGGCCTTGGAAAACAGTCATCTAAAATGTAAACAGAATTAAACGTTAATCCCTTCTCTGAAAGAACAACAAGCAAAAAATCCAGAAAATTGCTTCTGGTTGAATTACAAGACACAGAACAAGACTAATAACCTGTATGATCTATGGTAGCAAAATGGCAAGATACTGATTTCATAAACTTCTATTTCTAAACACAGAACAAGAAAATCTAGAACAGTAATTTGGACTTCAATGAGTTAAAACGTGCAAAAGAGCCTGATAATACTTAAACTTACTGCACATAAACTGATGTCATCTCACAGCAAAGGCGGGAGGGAAAGCTTCTTGTCTTCTTTAAATCTCAAAATGGTATTTTACTATTTGAGCTTCAGATTTATTAACAACTTCTCAAATAATGCAAAAAAAGCCCACATCGTAGGAGGTGGAAAAGGATTAAAAAAAATCAAATTTTCTTTTTTTACTGAATTATTCATGTTTTAAAAATTCATCTCCATACAAGTTATACTTTATGTCCAATTAGGCAGCAGAGAAAAATTCTCTGTAGAAAACACTATCAGATTTTATTATAACAAATCACATGTGAATTTTTTATACTTCAAAATAACTGAAGTCACTTACATTTTAAATTATTCAGATTTAATAGGCTTACCAAAATTTATATTTATAGGGCATTTGGTACTGCTGTTTGGATTTAGGTATTGGCAAACTGCCTTCAGAGAGAAGTGGGATGATTAGATAAATACAAAATTAGTACACTTTATTCCACACCATAAAACAGGCATTAATGTGTAACCTGGGGTGTGGCAAGCATTCAAACAATTCACAACTCCAAAACATTTTCCAGGAGCACGGCAAAATTCTTCAACTCCTTAGAAGTGTTATTAGGGAATCAAAATGCAAGCAGTGAGAACATGAGTATCAAACATAATTGTAAATTTAATTTCAAAGTTCTGATTCACATTCTTTTTTAAGGTGTTGGGAGGGAAACACAGATTATACATTTTTCCCAATTTTTCCCGAAAATATAGCCTTGTCCTATGAAAGCTAATAAATTTTTCCACTGAATGTGATATAGAAATGTTTTAAATAGAGTGGACAGAAAGCGTGGATTTATCTAACACTCTATGATACATTAACACATAAAAGATAGTACTTTCAATAACATACTTTAGAATGTCGTCCACTATAATTCTGAGAAACACTATTTTTAACATGTTTATACTACTGCTGAACTAATGGAAACAAAATTTAGCATTTTAAAGAGAAGTTATTTAAAAAGGAAACAGGATGATGTTTAATTATCCATCTTTTTTGAAATTACAATTAGAACAAAAGGTATATGATTATTTACGTTACAACTTGATAATACACACTCTAATTTGCCAGAAATGGAAGATTTTTTAAAAGATTTTTTCTTTGCAAATAAATTCTCTTCTCCTAAGCCTGTAAAGAATTTGTTGCTGTAGCTCATTTCTCCATGATGTGTACCATTTTTCAAATACGTGTGTGCATATACAGGGAAAATCAGCTCTAGAATGCAACAATTCCAAATAATTTTACTAAGAAGCACCTTTTGATATGCTGGTCTGAACTTATAATGGAGAGCCAAGCAATATACTTTTTCTGAAGTAGAATATTCTCCAGTTTTAATAGCTTCATACATAGCTACACTGAGGACAGCAATCTATGCTTTCTAGAATTCTGTAGATGTTCTGCTAGATTAATAGTTTAGATATGGCTCATTGTCAAGGTTGGGTGGACAGAGATCTCATCACTGGCTACAGAAAGCCAAATAAAACTCTTAATGACTGAAAAATGGTTTGCCTTTTGCTTAAGCCAAACAGATGTTTAAAAGCCATGTACCACCACTTTTCCCTGCTTAACATTCCTAAATTTCTTTATTCTTCATAGTTTTCTTAAGAACAAACAATTAGTTTTCCTGAGTAAGAGTATAAAAATGTTAACCCTTCTACCAAAAGTATAAAGACAAATAAAATGTAGACTCAAAATACAAATTTTTTTACACACATGACAAGTATAGGGATATTGACTGACGACCTCAATGATGATGACCCACCCCTTTAAAAAGACCGCAGCAAAGGTTTCAATTGTCTAAAATACTTCGAAGGACAGTAATCAAATGCTTTAGCCCATGAACATAACCCTCATCTTTTGTGTTGCTAGGAAACACATGAGCAAAATCTATCATTCGAACTTCTACTTCTGCCACCTCTTGGCAACCGGCGGGAAGGTGGTAAAAAACCTTTTCCAGTTTGGAAAGCACATTTCCATTTAAATGTTCCTGTGACATGCTTTTCCACCCATTGTCTTGCTCCATATTTTCAACTTTCTTTTTTTTTTTTTTCAACTTTCAATGAAGTCTGACTATGATGCTTTTTTGAATACATTTTTCTGTGACGAGCATACATCTTAGACAAGCTTTTGCCCACTGAAGCCTCTATTTTTCCATTCATTGTAGAACTTAGTAAGTGGAAGTTATTGTTATACTCCAGTACTTCTGTATCTGATAGTTGGCCTTTGGACAAAATCTTTTCTGTCAAAGTTCTTTCATTTGATTTTGTAGTGGATTGCTGAGATGAACCTTCATAAACAAATAGTAATGAACTTGCATAAAAGTTAAGCTGCTTCTGGTTTTCAAACCACTGCAGAATTTTCTCAATCTTCTGAATACTTGCAGCAATAGCATCTTTTCTCAAGCAAAATCCATTGTGAAAAAATTTAGAAACTCCTATAAAAAGAATAATTTTAAGAATTATCAAATAGCTGTAATATGGACAGTAAAGGCATTACTGATACAACTTTTCCATTTTCCCCACACACTATTTCTCAGTTAATTGAATAGTTAAGAATTATAGACAGAAATTTGGATCTCACCTTGGTTTCTAGCGAAAGAACTTATTAAAATAACATTATATTGACACTCACATAAAATAAGGAAAAAAAATTCCTTCCTGGGAGATTGGTAGTTTACTTCTATATTTATATTCTGTTAAGGAATATGATTTCAATTATTGTTCTATTTGCTATTGTGAGGAATTTTATACAAAGTATTATTTATTTAGTGCACTCTCATTCAAGAACAAATCTACTTTTCTCCATTGCCTGTGGGATTGAAAAATGGTAGTCACTGTGGAAAAGTGTTGTCACAGTTGGATCAAGTTAGATCTGACCCATAGATGACCCGCCAGAAGGGTTCCCAGAGGCAAAGAATCACACAGGAGACAGCTTATCTTTCAGCTGGTGGATTCAAACCAAATGCCTTTAGGCTAGCAGCACAGCGCTTTAGAATGAGGCCACCAGAGTGCTCTAAATGCAGTTTGGCATTCCTCAAAATGTTGAGCATAAATGATCTGTCAAAACTAGCAATCCCAATCCTAGTGAAATACACAAAAGCCAAAGTAAGCCCTTAAAGAGAAGTGTGGACTCCATGTCCAATGCGGCACTTTGCCCAATAGCCAAAAAGTGCAAACACTGGAAATCTCTACCAACAGATGAGTGGATGAGCAAAATGTACTATACACACACAAAGGCGTATTACCTAGTCACAAGGACAAATGTAGTCCTGAGGCATGCCATAAGACAGATAAAACTTTGAAAACAGTCTTCAGAGAGTAATAAGTCAGTGCCAAAAAGACACATATTGTATCCTCTCATTTTAATGAAATAAGCAAATAAATAGAAACTAAAGATTATTAGTGGTTACTGAGTAAGAAAGAGGGGGAAAGGGAAAGCTTTTTGTTTATGTTAATGGGACAAAATGATTGGAAAAAAGAGCAAGAATGATGGCACAAGCCGAAGACTATAATCCATTATCACTGAACTTTATGTGTAAAAACTGTTGATATGATACATTTTGCTAAGACCATTTCCAAAATGCATGCATATACACAACTTTAAAACAAAGCATCTAATTATAACTACTTACAATGGTAGCAACAAATGACAACTATGCTCTAATACTATTTCTCTAAACTATTTCTAGTCAGTCTCAAAAATAGTAGTATGCACACCCATGTTTATTGCAGCTTTGTTTACAATAGCAAAGAGTTGGAAGCAACCTAAGTGTCCATCAACAAACGAATGGATAGAGAAGCTGTGGTATATTCACACAATGGAATACTGCGCTGCATTGAAAAACAAGGAACTCATGCAATATTATTCAAAATGGATGACCCTGGAGGACATTATGCTGAGTGAAGTATCTCAGTCACAAACGGACAAATACTGCCTGGTGCCATTGTTGTAGAATGGGACTGACATCAGGGTTAGGGTAAGACTGAGGAAAAAAACTGGATAAATTATGCATACTGTATTGAAACAGATGAGGGAAAGAACAGATTAGAGGTGCTATATGGTTGAGTATTATGGTTATTAGCACAGGAGTCCAGAATTAAGGTTGCACAGAGAAGTGTGCTCAGAGCTGGGGGTCGGGGGAGGATTGTATACCAATAAAGGAACTTTTTTTTTCTTTTCAAAGAGAGGAGCGAACTAGTGGGGAAGGGGTGGACAGGGAGAAAAGTGCAGCAATGAATGAATGGAAATCCAAAATCTCTGTAAATGTTTATTAAAATTAATAAAAATGAAAAAAAATGCTATACAAAAAAATAATAGTAAACTAATCTTTTCACAAAAGTTTAACTCACTTTTAGAAGTCAACACTTCTCTAAGCTAAATGTGCGATTCAAATTACGGTTTTAAACATTTTAACTTACCAGTTCACTAGGCTTCTTTTGAAATTATTTATTCCTCAGTTAACATATTTTAACATTATATATATATCATATTACTATGTGATATGATACATATGATATAATGACACATATATATGGTAAATTTTTTAACTTACTTTTAATTTCTGATTACTATGTGATATGATACATATGATATAATGACACATATATATGGTAAATTTTTTAACTTACTTTTAATTTCTGCTGGATCTATGATTAAAGACCTCTTTTCATTTCCCCCCCTGTTTTAAACTTTTATTAATATTTTTAAAAATTTCATTTTATTATTATTACCGTGTTTGGTATGTATATCGTAAAGTCGGATCTGACTGGTACCAGAGGAGATTGCCCTTCCTTCTCCAGCAGAGCATCTGGTTGATTTGAACAGTGTATCTTACACTTTTATTAATTTTATTACACTTTTATTAAT